TGAACCCCCCTTACCTCAATGAGACTGTATTTGGAGACAAAGCCTTTAAGAGATCATTGAGGTTAAATTTGGACATTGGGAAGTGCCATCCAACAGGACTGGTGCTGTTAGAAGAAGATACACAGAAACACACAGAGTACAGACAGTGTGCAGAGACAGGGAGAAGATGACAAGGGCAAGACAAGAAGAGAAGCTAACCCTGCCTACACATTGATCTTAGACTGGCAGCCAAAAACCTGTGAGGAAATACATATCTACTTCTCTTCTTACCCAGCTCTATGTGCATTGTTGTAGCCAGACCTGACAAATGTACACATGCACCATGAAGCAGAAAGCATGGGATGTATTAAAGAAGAAGAGGTTGTGGAGGAAAGTGAGGCAGATGGTCCTCACCGAACAATCACAATTGATCATCCAGAATCCCCAAAGCCTTGCCCACCTCAGGATGGTTCCGTGAGAGTCTTCCTGTCCAAAGAGGATGAGCAAAAATTCTGGTCGTGGAGCTAGACCCACTCACTGGCTGCCTCCAAGCTTGTTCCACAGCCTTGGGCAGGTTGTTTCATCAAGAGAAGAAGAATGACAAGGAATTAAATAATAATACTTTTGGAAAAGTAGGTTATCAACTGAAATAGTCTATGGTGTGACTATTGTTGGAAGCACTCTTTGATTGCATGCCTATGGTCAGTGCTGTAGGTGAAGGCTCCACAGACAATGCTCAGGTATCTGGCTCTCTAGACATTCAGAGCCTTGTTCTTGTCTTCTGAGGCCAAATCTGGGTTTATCTGAAAGTCCAGGGGTAGGACTGGATTAGGAGCTGGAAGAATGAATTCTACCCAAGGGCCATGCTCACCTGTGAGTCCCAGTAGGAGGATCAGTAGTAGGCCAGGAGGAGCAGACTGGGGCCAGGAGTCTGGAATGAGCATCATGGAGACCTCAGCAGTCTGCTGTGTCCTGCTGTCAGTGCTGGGGAGAATCCTGACTCTGCTGTGTGGAAAGATGAGGGACCCTGCCTCTCTCCATGAAAGAGGAAGTAGTTTTTCATCGAGCCTGTCTCTGAACTGGGAAATAGAAATCTGACAACACAGGAAGCTACACAAGGAGAAGTTACCCAGGGTACAATTGAGGTTCTTAATATTCATCTCATGGAAAGATGCTTCTTCTTCACTGGGGCTTGAGCTTCATCCACTAAGACCTGCACACCATCTTGAGGTCTTTGAACTCTTGCTTGGCCAAGAAGGAATTTGCCCTTAAGTCTTATGACTGAGTCTCAGATATGGCTGGCTTGTGGTTTTGTCCTGCACCTGCTTCACCAAGAGCCCCTGAGGTAGAAGCAGACTCGCTCAGTGTTGGGGCAGATGTGACATGCTCCTGAAATGTCACCCGCTGTAACCCCTCTGCTGAGATAACTGGTGCACCTAACCCAAAGTTGGTGTGATGTGCACCTTAGGGATCTGTGTCCCTGTATTCTGTTTAGTTCCAGAGGAGAAAGTGGGTTTAGATGGATGAGTAGCTGCTTGGTGGAGCAAGCTGGGGGTTATGGTTTAATATGAGGACTAGGATTATGTATATTGTGGGAAAGTCCTGGGGCAGGCATGTCAGCTTGGGGACTCTGTGTTCTCTTTTCCTTTTATTTCTTTTAAGTCTAAGACTGGGATTCAAAGTAGGTATCTGATGCATTCGTTCTTTGGCTAACCCTCTATCAAATGAGCCATAGCTCCAGCCACACAGATTCTGTATTCTCTGTATAGAAAGAACCAAGGCCATTTCAGTGTGCCAGATGGAACTGGGGAGGAAGGAAGGGTGAGTGACTGGGATGGGGACCTGCCAAGGAGCTGGGCAGGTCACCCCTGACTTCACCTTGTCATCTCCAACCTGGGATGGGTTGTTTCCCCCTCCCAAAGTGTTTTAGTAGATATTAAAGGGAATATGTCTGGAATAATCTTGAAAAAACAAACAAATCAACCATGGGTCATTATGATACTCTTGGTATGAGATGGGGACAGGAAGACAAAATACAGCTCTTCAAGGAGCTCCATCTGAGATCAATTGCACCCTCTGGGATTCTCAGTACCCCCTTTCTTTTATTGGTGTATGGAAGGGGCAGCTGCTTCGCCTGAGGCCTTGGCTGCCTCTTGGTTTACACCTGGTCACATCACAGGACTTGCATATGTGAAGGTTGATAGATTCCTGAGGCGTGCACTTGTTTCTACACTCCCTGCTTTGCTGGCATTCAGGGTTTGGGGAGGCAGATTTCTGGAGGGGGAGATGTATCATCCCTCTGTGTGGTGTGAGCTGCATGGAACTCTCCAGGCCAGCCCTGCTCCTCCTGGTAACTTTCCCACATCCTGCCCCTGCCTGGCTGTATTCATCAGCTCTGTCTGGGACTTATTTTCCCCTTAAGGACTTGTAGATTCCTACATTTTCAACATAAGAGACTATTTTACCTGAGTGTACCCTGGTGGGCTCCAACAGAGCCTGATTTTCCCAAAGGAAACACCAATGCCAGCTGTCTTTGGTCTTTCATGTGGAAGATGTGCAGTTCAACTGTTCCGTTTTACTGAAGGGAAGAAACCTCATGTGGGCTGGGTACCAGTGGATCTCACTGTAATCTTATCTACTCAAGAGATCTTAGGATCACAGCCTAAAGTCAGACCAGGTAAGAAAGTCCATGAGACCTTCCTCCTCCTCCTCCTCCTCCTTTTCCTCCTTCTCTTCCTCTCTCTCTTCCTTCCTCTTTCTTCCTTCCTCTTTCTTTCTTTCTCTCTCTGTCTTTCTTTCTTTCTTTCTTTCTTTCTTTCTTTCTTTCTTTCTTTCTTTCTTTCTTTCTTTCTTTCTTTCTTTCTTTCTTTCTTTCTCTCTCTCTCTCTCTTTAAATTTTGTCAGTCCAAAGGCTTGAACTAGAGGCATGGGCATTGTCTCTAAGCTCTTTTGCTCAAGGCTAGTGCACTGCTATTTTGAGCCATAGCTCCACTTCCAATTTTCTCACAGTTAACTGGAGATAAGGGTCTCACGGACTTCCTTCTTAGGGTGGCATCAAACCATGATCCTCAGATCTCAAGCTCTAGAGTAGCAAGAATTACAGGCATAAGCCATAAGTGCCTGACTCAGTCCCTTTTTTTTTTAACTCCAGAGAAAGTCATCCTTGCCTACCCCATTTTTTTGAACTCATCCATATGACCTGCCTTGATCAAAGGGGGCTAATAAATGTGGCTTGTGCAACAGCTAGCCTGTGTTGCAAAGAAAATCAGTTGTCACACAAACTAAGATAGAACCCAGTTTAGAGCCAAGCTCAATTAATCAATCTTGACCTAGATCAGCCTCGATCATCTGAGCTACAGCTACTTGGCTGAGTAACAGATGCTTATTGTTGTATGCCACTGAACTTTATGGCCATTGGTTATAAAGCAGTACTGGATAGAACACAAAACTTTAGTGTTGAGGAGCCTAGATTCAGATTTTTACCTTCTAGCATTATGTCTCATTTGCTTATTAGTAATCATTCTATGCCAGTGCCTCCCAAACCAAGACATTTTCCCAAAGTCCAGATGAATAGATAATAGGCGACAGACAGACAGACAGATAGATAGATAGATGACAGAATGACAGGTAGGATTCATGGGACTTGCTCAAGCAATTACAGAGAATGAGGAATTCCATCATGTGCCATAAACAAGCTAGACAATGGGGAAACTGAGGTCAAAGGTCTGAGAACCTGGTGGGGGGAGAATGAGGTGCTGGTGCAAGCCTCAAAGCCCAAGGATTCTAATGTGCAAAGGCAGAAGAGCATGGCATCCCAGCACCAAAAGAGAGAGCAAGGTTGCCTTCCTCTGCCTTTTTGTTCTTTGGTTCTCAGCCACTTGAATGATGCCTATCTACACTAGGTGATGGGAATTTTCCTGATTCAGTTCACTGATTCCAGTGCCAACTTTTGGAGAAGGAATAGAGAGGCTGAATGAAAGCCCAGAAATCACAGAACCAAAGCCAGGTGCAGGAAGCTGCTACTTGCAATCTTAGCTATTTTGGAGTCTGAGGTTTGAGAATAATGGCTTAAAACCAACTGGAGTAGACAAATCTGAGACACTGTTATCAACCAGTAAACAAGCTAGACTTGGAGGTGTGGCTCAAATGGTTAAGCACCCATCCTTGGTCAAAAGAAGCCAAGTGAGAGCATGAAGCTCTGAGTTCAAGCCCCATTATGGCATAATAGCAAAGACATCAACAATACCAACAAAATCAGAACCAGCATAAACCTTTTTCCTTCCTTCAACACTGTAATGAGCTCTATCCAATCACCAAGCTTATTTCTAGAAGCTTTCATGCTTAACTGCTAACCCTTCAACAACCAAGCATTCCTATTAATCACTTTCCTTATCCATGGTGTCTTTGGGACTAATATCTCATGCTCTGGATCCCACTAGGTTTCAGAACCAGCAGTTAGACCAAGGGAAGAAAGGAAGGCAGAGGCTACACACCTTCTGTGAAATTATGTGCAGAGTTAAGTCTCCTTTATCCCTGTGATGTCACAATCCTGTCCCAGAGCTACAGTCTATGCAGAGTTGCCCAACCAATCTCGTACATCATCCCACACATCTTTCATGTGCCTCTGAGCTCGCTAGAGGATGAGGAATAATGGATTAATGGGCAAGAGCACCAGTTTGGGGACCAGATACAAACTAGGTTAAAATCCTATATCCAGGCCTGGCATGGGTAGCTCAACACCTGTAATCCTAGCTACTCAGGAGGCTGAGATCTGAGACTTTTGGCTGGAAAATCTGTGAGAGTCTTATCTCCAGTTAACCTCTCAGAAAACTGGAGGAGGAACTGTGGCTCAAGTAGTTAGAGTGCTAGATTTGAGTGAAAAAAAGTTAAGGGACAGTGCCCAGGCTTTTAGTTCAAGCCCCAGTACTAGCCATATGAAAAAAGTAAAATCTTGAATCCACCTACTAGTATCTGATTAATTCGGGTTAATGATGTGGACATATACTCTTCAGCCTTCTTGACATCTTTATTTGCATATATCAAGCATTCAAATGTGAATTTGACATCTGCTCTTATATAGCATTGATCTCCCATCTCATTCCTTTTAAGGATGTGTTCTTGTCCCCCTTTGGAGTTGGTTAAACTCAGAAAAAATTACCCGCTACCCAGCATTATTAAATTTACCTCCTCAATTTCTCCACCACAGGTCCAAAGGCACTTTTTTTACATGAGCAATTTCCCCAAGGAATGTTACTGCTTCCGTGACAGACTGAGGGGGTGGTGATGGTCACCAGAAGTGATGGGTACGACCATTCTGATGTGTTCAGGCTGGGCCCATTTCTCACATCCTCAGGTGGTGTTCTGAGTCAGTCCTCAGAGCTGATTTCATAGCTTCAGTTCAGGAGCAGAAAAGCAGCCCAACTGCTGGGGGTAGGGATAAATCCCTGTGCAGAGGAGAAACAGAAGTCTGGGGACTGGCATTGTCCTGGGAGAAGAGGCCTCTGGAGCAGAGTCCTTGAAAAGCTCCTGTCTGCTTTTTTACCCCAGGCTGTATGTCTCCAAGTGTGAAGGTTGTGGTGACTGAGAGTCCCATGTGGCAGGGTTGGAGGAAGAAGAGCGCTGTGGGGGAGATGTCACATTGAGTCCTCTCCTCATTCATGAATTGTCTTCTGAGTGCTCTGATGTTCCTGGTGCTGCTCACTCCTGAGCACCTGTCCAGAGAGGACAGGAGCCCCTGGGACAGCACTGTTCCCTTCCCTCAGCTTCCTGCTTGCATCCCTACTCTTTGTCCACTGTGTTTGGTCAAATGGTTCTCTCTTGTCCATTCAGTTAGAGGAGGACCAGCCCTCAATCTACTACCTGAAACTTTTTTTCATATACATTTTTATTGTACAAATACTGTACAGAGGGGTTACAGTTACATGAGTAGGGTAATGAGTACATTTCCTATCAAGCATTGTTACCTCCTCCTTTGTTTTCCATATACCATCCCTTCCCTCCCCATCTCCCCAACTTCTTCCTCCTCACCCCGAAATTGTAAAGTTTGTTTTCAACATAGTGTCTTGTACATCTCATTGTTACAAAGGGTTAATCTATATCTTTAATTAAGCATTTTTTTGGGGGTCCAGTCGTGGGGTCTGAACTCTGGGCCTGGGTGCTGTCCCTTAGCTCTTCAGCTCAAGGCTAGCGCTCTACCACTTGAGCCACAGCGCCATTTCTGGCTTTTTTCTTTTTGCTTATGTGGTGCTGAGGAATCGAACCCAGGGCCTCATGCATGCAAGACAAGCGCTCTATCACTGAGCCACCTTCCCAGCCACTTAATTAAGCATATTGTTATATTCCTTCCCCTCTTCAAATTACAAAAATGTATATACAAGATGCAGGACACCCAAATCAAATGCAGTGAAAACAGGGGTTATACTGTAGGGGAAGAACATACAGAAGAAACAAAAGAATCATACAGTGCATTACAAGTACCTTAAAATCAATAGCAAGAAAGAAAAAAAAACACTCGTGTCCCTGTCTTGGGGTTCCTTAGCACAGGCTGAAATTTTCTTAATAGAGACCCAGAAACACAACAAATCAAAGAAAGTTGGACAAATGGGATTGCATGAAACTGCAGAGCTTCTGCATGGTAAATAACATAGCTAGCAAAATCAATAGAAAGCCCACAGACTGGGAGAAGATCTTTACTAGCCATACAACAGACAAGGGTCTCATATCTAAAATATACTTAGACCTCAAAAAATTAAATCCTCCAACAACAAATCCTCAAAGAAACAACTGCTTGATTAATAAGTGGCTAAAGAATTTAAGAGAGACTTCTCTGAAGAGGAAATAAGAATGGCCAATACACACATGAAGAAATGCTCAACTTCTATAGCCATAAAAGAAATGCAAATCAAGATAACATTGAGATTCTATCTCACCCCAGTTAAAATGTCTATAATCAAGAAATCTAGTAACAACAGATGCTGGAGGGGATGTGGCCAAAAGAGAACCCTACTGCATTGTTGGTGGGAGTGTAAACTTGTTCAACCACTTTGGAAAGCAGTATAGAGCTACCTCAAAAGACGCCACATAGAATCCCCTATGACCCAGCAAACCACTTTTGGGCATTTACCCAAATGATCATAATCAAGGTCATACCAAAGCTACCAGCACAACCATGTTTATTGGAGCATTATTTTCCATAGCTAAGATATGGAATCAACCCAGATGCCCCTCACTAGATGACTGGATCAAGAAAATATGGTATATTTATACAATGGAATTTTATGCTTCCATCAGAAAGAATGACATTGCCCCATTTGTTAGGAAATGGAAAGACTTGGAAAAAATTATATTAAGTGAAGTAAGCCAGGCCCAAAGAAAGGTAAGTTCCATGGTTTCCCTTATTTGCAATAACTAGCATATGTCTAGGACAAGCAGAAAAGATCAAAAACCATGTACATAGGATCATACCTGAAACTTTTAATATTGCTCCAAATTGCATTCTCCTTGTCCCAGGGAGTCCTGACATTGAAGGAGTCTAGCAATGGCCTCCACATAACCATGGAGTGCTTTGTCCCTCCTCCCACTCTTTGTTCCACCTCCTCCATGCAGCCCCTCAGACCCTGTGGATACCCTTTCCAAACCCTTGATCTCACCCCTCCTGCAGCACTCACATTCGCTCTGGGAACTGGACACCTCTCAGAAGGCTCCATGTGGTGACTCCATTGACTCTGACACTGTGAACTGGATGCTTGCTGACCCTTCCTTGGCCTGCCCTCCTTCCCATTCAACTTACCATCTGTTTCCTATGGATGTAGATGGCAGAGACTCCAACTGCCAGCAACACCTTGGAGCTGAGGAGCAGAACTATGAGGAGCACAGCAAGATTAAAACACATAGTATCTGAAAAATCAAGACATAAGAGGAGCCATTAGAGAGCCCCCTGGAGTCCATTCCTCCCCAGGGCCACCATTTGCCCCATCTGCAGTGACCTGGGCTTACCACACTCTGAAGACTTTGAACCTGAGCCCTGTCCTGGCTACTCTGGTTCAAGTTTGAGGAAGTAGGACGAGGAAAGTCTAAATCAACACTGTCAATTTCCTACCTCAAGAAACTACAGAACAAAGAGCAAAATTAACAGAAGATGAAAATAAGTTTTAAGTCAATGAAAGTAAAGATTTGAGACAAGATCACTGAAACATGAAGTTGGGGCATTGAAAAGAGCCATAAAATTGAGATCTTCTAGAAAGACTGATGCTGTCCAAGAGAAATAGTCACAATTCTTCCATCAGGATCAAATGAGGGCACCCACGGCTGTTCCTTGAGAAAGCACAAGGCTCTGAGTGTATGTAGTATGGAATTCTTAATGCAGAAAGTTCAGGAGAAGAGACAGAAAAAAATTCATGAACAGCACAACTCACCACAATTCCTCTAATATAAACATAATTAATGGGAATGGCTCTACTAATGTCTGAGAAATCCAACTTAAAGGTGCTAGGGTTGATTTTGCTCTTCATTTCAGAGGTTTCAGGCCATGTGTCTGGGCTCTGTTGATTCTGGACACTTGGGTAGACAGAGCACCCTGGCCTTGGGACCATGTGAAGGAGGCTACTCAGGTTGTGTCATGCGTTCATTAAGGGAGACAGTGTAGGGAAGAAGAAAGGGAGAGGATAAGGGAGAGGAAAAGTGAAAGGAAGAGGGAGAAAGGAGAAGAGAGAGAAAGATAAAGGAGTTAAGGACAAGATGGAGCCCCTGAATCTATTACCCAGTGACTTATTTCTTTTAGCTTGGTCCCATTTCCTAAAGTATCCAGAACCTTCTCAAATGGCCTATAGCCAGGGATCACGCATTTGACATATGAGGGAGCACTCTGTGAACTTGACCCTTAAGGAAGCTGAATTAGTCATTTTAGTCCTGGAAAGATATTTTAGTGCCCAGATGTGTTCACAGGAAGCTGTGACCAAGCATTTAAAGATGAATTCAAGCATTTGTCAGTGGTTCACCCTGTAATCCTGGCTACTCAGGAGGCTGAGAGCATGGTTTGAAGGCAGCCAAGGCAGGAAAAATTGTGAGATTCTTCTCTCTCGTTAACCACCAAAAGGCCACAAGCACAGGTGAGATTCATGATAGAGTGCTAGCCTTGAGAATAAAAGGTCAGGAACAGTATCCAGGCCCTGAATTCAAGCCCCAGGATGGGTATGTGCATGTGGGCGCGCGCGCACACACACACACACACACACACACACACACACACACACACACACACACACACAGATGAATTGAAACAAAAATTATTTGGAAACAAATTAGCAAGAATGTAAATATTATTTTTGATAAATAGTACTCTAGTTTAATCTCCATACCGGGGCTTATACTCAGGGTCTGGGCACTGTCCCTTAGCCTTTTTGCTCAAGGTTAGCACTCTACTAATTGAGTTACAGCTTCATTTCTAGTTTTTTTTTCTGATTAATTGAAAACAAGAGTCTCACAAACATTTCATCCCAGGGTGGCTGCAAACCAAAATCCTTATATCTCAGCCTCCTGAGTATCTAGGATTACAACTGTGAGCCATCAGCACCTGGTACTTACTATAGTTTATTAACTATGATAGTAATGTTGGTTTTGTAGGAAATTGTCTTTAATCACTTGATCACCCAATTGTGGACTCTTTTCACATTGGATGTCCAGCCAGGCCTGAACTCTTTTTTTAAAAAAATTGTGAAAATACCATACAGAGGGGTTAAAAATACATGGGCAAGATAGTGAGTACATTTCTTATCAAGCATTGTAGCCTCCTCCTTTGTTTCCCCTTCCCATCCCTTCCCCTCTTCACCCCATACCCCCACACCCCCTACCACCCCTACCCCTACCCTCATCCCCCCACCCCCACCCCGCCAAAGTTGTAAAGTTCATTTTTCGACATAATGTCTTGTAAATCTCATTGTTGTAATGGATCCACCTGTAACTCTATTTAAACAGTTAGCTTTTTCCCTTTCCCTCCACAAATTTTATCAACATCAAATAGAGTGAAAGCAGGGCTTATACCCTGGGGGAGGTACATACAAAGCAACAAAGAAATAATCATAAATATGTTGGAAACAATTGCAAGAAAGAAAAAAAAACATTTGAATCCTTATCTTGGGGTTCATTTAGCCTAACATCAACTTATCTGACCATTTCTGCTTGTCTCAGACATATACTAGTTATTGCAAATAAGGGAAACCATGGGACCTATTTTTCTTTGGGCCTGGCTTACTTCACTTAATGTAATTGTTTCCAAGACTTTCCATTTCCTAACAAATGGGGCAATGTCATTCTTTCTGATGGAGGCATAGACTTCCATTGTGTATATATACCACATTTTCTTGATCCATTCATCTACTGAGGGGGCACTGGGTTGGTCCCATATCTTAGCTATGGTAAATAATGCTGCAATAAACATTGTTGTGCTGGTAGCTTTAGTATGGTCTTGTTTGTGATCATTTGGGTAAATGCTCAAAAGTGGGATTGCTGGGTCACAGGGGACTCTATGTGGAATCTTTTGAGGTAGCTCTATACTGCTTGCAAAGTGGTTGAACAAGTTTACACTCCCACCAGCAATGCAGTAATGTTCTCTTCTGTCCACATCTCCTCCAGCATTGGTTGTTATTAGAGTTCTTGATTATAGCCATTCTAACTGGGATGAGGTGGTATCTCAATGTTGTTTTGATTTGTATTTCTTTTATGGCTAGTGAGTTGAGCATTTCTTCATGTGTCTATTGGCTATCCTTCTTTCCTCTTCAGAGAAGTTTCTCTGTAAGTCTTTAGTCCACTTATTTATTGGGCAGTTGTTTCTTTGAGAATTTGTTGTTGGGGGATTTAATTTTTTGAGTTCCAGGTATATTTTAGATATGAGACCCTTATCTGTTGTATGGCTGGTGAAGATCTTCTCCTAATTAATGGGCTTTCTATCAATCTTGCTAGCTATATCCTTTGCCATGCAGAAGCTCTGCAATTTCATGCAATCCCATTTGTCCAACTTTTCTTTGATTTGTTGTGTTTCTGGGTCTCTATTAAGAAAATTCAGGCCTGAACTCTTAGTGGATCTGATTATGCATCTTTTTTCATCTCTCTAGCAATGAAACTGTTCTTGACTCCATTTTTTCTCTCTCTAGGGCTGAACTCAGGCCCTAGGCACTATTCCTGAGCTCTTTTACTCTAGGCTAGTACTCTACCACTTTGAACTAGAGCTGCACATCCAGTTTTTGGGAGATAAGAGCTCCATGGGGACTTTTCTTCCCAGAAGGCTCCCAACCATGATCCTCAGATCTCAGCTTCCTGAGTATCTAGGCTAACAGGCATGAGCCACCAGCACCCAGTTATCCTCAGCTTCTTATCTTTACTTTCCCACAGTGAATCCACTGACACAGCACTGACCCACAAGATTAGTCCTGCAACACTCAGTGTGATGGGAGAATCTTAGACCTTCAAAGAAAGAGGAAAAGTGTTCCTGCATTCTGAGGCAGGGAAATAGCACAGATTCATTCTAGGAAGGACTCTAGCCAGCCTCTGGGGCAGTTAGCACTGGAGGGGAGCATTTCATTCATCAGCACAGATTGGCTTTAGAGACTGGTAGTGCCTTATCTTCAGAACCTCAGATGTCTCTTGATAAGCTTGTGCAATTCCCTGTTCTAAGAACAAGTAGTCATCCTGTTCCCCAGTCCTGGTTTCCTTGTCTGTGAGATCTCTAACTCACAAGGTGCTATAAGGTGGCAGCTCAAAGAGAAATTTCTCATTCCATGTCATAGATGTATAGTGAGGGCCAGGGTGGATTGGGCCCATTATCACAAATCAGGAAACATGGAGGCCCTGTTATATGACCACTGTTGATCATCTTGAAGCCTGGTTCCTCTTTCAACCCCATGTTCCCAGGGACACTTTTTAGATTTAAGTCAGCAGGTGCCAGTGTCTGCTGGGTGAGGATCCAGCTGTGTGTGGACAAGTCTAAGATGGAAGGGAGACTGGATGGAGGTTAAAATACTGAAGAAGAGGGAGAGGGCCATGAGGAAGGAGAACAGAAGAACTGAAGATAACGAAGGCGGGAGGCCTGATGCTTGGGCAGGACCGACCCTCTCTTCTCTCCTTCAATATCTGTTTATGTGTAAAGACCCATGGATCTGTGCAACCAGATCTATGAGTCAGTGTGAGAACTGACTTTAAAAGTCTATTTTCTAGACTTTTAGATTAGTCTATCATCAGCACTATTCACTACTTTGGACATTTAAACGTGTTAAATGGAAATAACATCTAATGAAACATTCCAGGAGCTGGTTTTCTGTCATGGAGGGCTCACCAGGAGTTGTTTCTGCGCCCTGCTCCTTTTGCTCCTCCAGGATGAGGTTGGCAGTGATGGCGGGCTGGTCCTCATGCTCCACCTGGCAGGTGAGCACCACGTTCTCCCTGTGAGCAGAGACGTTCACCAGCAGCCAGCTCGTCTGGTTGTAAGTCCCATCCTTGTTCTCGGTGAGGGCCCAGCTGGTGTCTCTCCGCGATAGGTTTCCATTCTCCATCCAGGTCACCTGGAGGCTTGAAGGGTAGAACTTGGACGCCAGGCATGTGATATTCACCTGGTTCCCTGCCATCATGGGCTGCTGGCTGACCTCCAAGGTGGGCGGCACTAAAACAGCACAGGCAGAGTCTCTGACCTTGTGGCTCAGAGACCCCAGAGGAAGGGCTGGAGTGCTAAGCCTCCACATCAGGGCACAGGTATCACACGGGACAGCTCTGGGCACTGGGTATGTGCTCCAATACTGAAGGGATGGACGTGGACATAATCACTAAGCACAGTAAGCCCTCAAGTACTCAGGGCTGTTGTTAAATGAATAATAAGTGAAACGAACACATGCAGGCCTGGCATGCAGACAGATGCAGTGATGGCAGCTAAATGAACGAGAGATGGACGGACATGCACAGGGGCCCAGTACTTGTAGCTGCCCTGGTAAAGGAAGTGCAGCCTCCAGCAGAGTGCTGGGCATAGGTGCTTGGCATCAGGACTGCTGGGCACCATTTCCAGGCCCTTCAGACTCCACAGCAAAAGCCCTAGGGAGGGTCAGGCTTGGTGGGCAGACAGGGACTTGGGCTGGGACTTGGGGTCATCTACCTCGAATGGCGTCAGACAAGTTGGCAGTCCCACGGAGAGGGCTCCCGGACAAAGTGGCATGGGCCACCTCACAGATGACCTGAGAGCGGACGTCCCCAGGGGTCAGCACCACCTTGGCTGTGCTGGAGATGTTGTAGGAGACACTCTCTCCCTTGGGGTCCAGGCTGGTCTGGGAGTCAGGGAGCTGCTTCCCATTTTTGAACCACTTCAGGGTGATGTTCCGAGGGGAGAAGCCGTGGGACTTGCAGGTGAAGCTCACTGTCTGTCCAGGTGTGGCCCTGGCTGCAGGGCCGGAAACCACGGGAAGAGAAGGTCTGGCTACAAAGGAGCATTTACAGAGATGTGATTGCAGAGCCTGCCCGGTGTGCAGAAGAGATGCTGTGAGCAACCTTCCCCCACACAGCTGCTATTAGTACTACTATGCACTATTGTCATTATGACTACTACTGTTCTGAGCACCGAATCCAGGGCCTCATGCCTGCTAAACACAGGACCTACCTCTGAGCTCTGTCCTCAGACACCAATGATAAGATATTATTAAACCTCCTAATAATGATGGGAAAGAAACACACTTAATTTCTTATTTCAGAAGATGCAAAGGCTCTAAGAGGTACAGAAGTCAAAAAAATGTGCCCAGCTGGACTCCAGGCCATCAAGACTCCAGTAGCCCACCAGATACTGGAATGTGGGAGGCTGTTATTACTTTCATTATACCAAATGTTTGTGGTCCTGATGCTAGCCTAAGTGCTTTAGGCCCCTCAGTTCTTCCATCATACTAATGTTGGGGGAGGAGTTACAAGTGTTTGATTCTTTCTGGAATAAGGATGAGTGTTCTATCTGGGATAGGGCACCTAGGTCATCTATTCCATATAGGCTGATCAATTACATACACATTCCTTTGCCTCCACCTCTCACACACACAGAGATACCCACAGACACCACCACACACTTTGCATATTCATGGGCATGCACCAGAGTAGGGGATCAAACACAGGCCCATGTGGATGTGGGCAAGCGTTCTAGCACTGGCCCACCTCCCCATACACCTGTTCTCTATCTCAGCCTCAGTATCCCCTTCTATAAAAAGTGGATACACAGAGATCTTCCTTATGACCCAGCCATACCACTCCTGGGCATCTACCCAGCACACCACAAACCAGGATACCATAAAGACACTTGCACATCCATGATCCTTGCTGTATTATTCACAAAAATGTGGTACATATACACAGTGAAATTTTATACAGTCATTAGAAAAATAATATTACGCCATTTTCAGGGAAATGGATGGACCTAGAATACATCATGTTAAGTGAGGCAAGCCAAGCTCAGACAAATGGTGCATGTTTGCTTTCATATGCAGTAGCTAGATCTAAACACGCTGCAACATGATAAAGAATACAGAACTCTAGGTGTTCCCACACAGTGAGACCAAAGGAAGATATTCTTAGGAAAGGAACACAAAGGCACAATGCTTATGTCCATCTACGCATATAAAATCATATTTGTCTAAATGAACTTCAGGTAATAGAAACAAGAGGTGTTTTTCTTCATTACTGGTTTGCTTTTTATTCTTTTTGACTTGTTCATTCACTTATCCATTTTGGGGAGGGTAAGAGGAGCACAGAAACAGAGGGACAAAGGCTGACCAAATGCAGCAGTGATACTTACTAGACATTATGTTGAAAATGAACTTTACAATTTGTGTGTGGGGGTGGAGAGAAAAACTGTGAGATAGTGGATGACACTGTCCAGAAAGAAATGTACTCTACCTGACTCAGTAACTGTAACAACCAAAAAAGTAAACAAAAGAAAATGGATACAACACCCTGCTGTGCCACCCCTAGCCCCCAGGAAGTGAGTGAGCACTGATTTGGACACAGCATCTGATGTATAGTAGTTACATCATGAATGACACCATGTCTACATGATCATTCACAACAAGCTGCTCAGGCATTGCAGGACAAGGCTCCATCCTGCTCCTGCAGATACCCAAATGAGAATGGAGCAGAAAGCACCAGGTCAGTACCTTCTCGGTGAAAGGATCATCTTTTAGGAAACAGGTAACTTTCTAAAAACATGGGGCTCAGGGCCTTTCCCCAGAGCAGCTGTGAACAGAAAGCTGGGAGCGCTCTGTGTGGGTGGTGGGGCGGAGGGAGGGGGTGCCTAAGTCCTCGGTGACGCAGAGAGCTGTGTCTGGCACATGACTTTCTGACTCAACCACAGGGAACAGGGTCTCATACCATATTGCCCATCGACTTTTCTGTTCTGATCTGAAGGTGAACATGAGAACCTCAGAGAGATTCTCAATCCTAGCTGTATTTTAGACTCTTCTGCCATACTTGGAAACTTCACACCCACAGCAAAACAAGTACAGCTGACTTTCCAGGGTGGAGTCTGGGCCTGGGCTTTACTTCAGGTTTCCAGGTGGTTCCAGTGAGAAGTCAGGTGGGGAACTACCAACCTCACACCATCCCATTGACAGGTAAGGCTCAGAGAGGGAAAGTGACCTGTACAAGGTCCCTTGGCCTCGGCCCATCACGCTCACATAGATGGGGCATTTCCTACACACCAGGCACTTTTTTAAGTGCCCCAGGACTTGCATCCTTCTGTCCTACCATGCATGCTGTAGGAGGGATCATCAAGGCCACTGTGGGCAGTACATTGTCCCAGGCCACAGGCTGGCAAGTGGCTGGGCTGGGATGTGGGACCAGCCATGAGGCTCCATCTCTAGCCCTCTTGACACTTACGCTACTGACAGCAGCAATGACCCTGACACTCTTGGTGTGTGTGTGTCTCCACGTTCTCAGAACACTGATAGTCCAGGGCAATGGCATCCATCATCTTACAGATGAGGAGGGTGGAGACTGACAACTGGAGGGAGGCTAAATCCCATCATAAACCATAAACTTGGAGACTGGGTTGGGTGATTTCACAGTTCTGTGTGCTGAGAATCATCATGGGATTGGAAGCTAGAAACAAGACCATGGGCCTGACAAGAAATCCAAAGGGAGCATCTCTGCTGCCTCAATAGAGCCACAGAAGAACTGAGCCTGGGTGGATGACAAAGCTCTACTCAGAGCCTCAGCACCGGTGAGAGCAAGTACCTAATGCAGGGTACGGACACAGAGCCAGGGCAGAGGCCCAACCTCACAGCCCCTACCACTAGAGCAGTCAGTAAGTCCCCAGGTCTGCAGCATGAAAAGAGACCTCTGGCACCAAGGAGATGTGCTCCCTGGAGGCAGCAAGCCTATGACCTGTGAAGTGGAAGTCACTTACACTGTCTGATCTTTCTTCTTGGGAACCAGGGGGCTTGGCTGTGGCCTAGGAAGACCAGGGGCATATGTCTACTGTCCAGCTGTGGAGCAGGGAAACCACAGGCTAGATATCCCCACTATCCAGCTGTGGAACAGGAAGAAGAGAGGACAGATGTCACCACTGGCCAGCTGTGGAACGCTGCAGAAGGTCCCGTGCAGTTCCAGACTTCCCTGGCCCAGGGAGAGGGGACCAGAGCATGAACTCAAGTGCCCAGCACCACCCCAGCTTCTAGGCTGTTCTTCATAGAACTAGGGCATTATTCTGCACCTATGGTCACACTCTAGGGAACAAAGGCATCCACATTGTACTCACCACTCACAGACAGCTCAGTGCCTGGTCCAGACTTAAACTCCTTGTCCCCCTCAGTGGCTGTCTTCCGGAACTTCACGCAGTAGTAGGTGCCCGCGTCTGCTGGGGTGACGTTCCTGATGCGGATGGAAAAGTCCATGTTGTCTCTCTGGGTGGGATCTGAAACTGGTGTGACGCGTGGGTTGTGGGGTTCTTTGAAATGGAAGATCGGCTCCTGGCTTGGTCCTTTCCCCCTGAACCACTGGGCGGGCCCCACAGGGAGCAGGGAGGTCATAGTGCAGCGCAGCAAGGCCGTCTCTCCAGCGGTGACAGACACCGCCCTGTCAGGCTGCATCACCTGCAGCTCATCTTCAGCGGTTCCTGGAGGAAACACAGCAGTTATTCATCCTGACAGCACCTTGTGAGGCTCCTCAAAGTTTCATCAGCCCTGACTCTCACTGACCCAATGTACAGCACACTGTCTGGGTAGTAAGGTTAAACCCTCACTTGAGATTGTAATACAAAGCAGAAACTGAGGCACCGAGAGGGAAATACACATGGGAGAGCTCAGCTTTGAGTCCCTGAGTCCTCTGCAGGACTTATGGTTTCTGTCCACATGGTCCATGATAGTAGGTGGGTCCTGTGACTCCTGGGGGCCATGAAGAAATGAGCATAGTGACAGCACAGAGAATGGATCTGAGAGCAAGAGACTCGGGGTCAGTTCCTCCTCCCCAGAGCACCACAGGTGCCAGCATGGTGCTCAGAACTCCCAGTACAATGTCATGCCAAATGTGATCAAACACAACCCCACAGACCCAAGATGTAAACTCCATGTAGGTCAACTCAGTAATCGGGGAAAGCTAAATGTCTGCAAGCAAGAGAATGAATTTGCAGCTTTACCTTATACAAAATGTAGCAATTAGCTCAAAATGGATCAACGATCAAAAGGCAAATTCTAAGATTAAAAAAGCTCCAAACTCCGAGAAAAGAAAACGTAAGTAAAGTCTTCATGACATCAGATTTGGCAATTATTTCTTACATGTAACAACAGAGTCATGAACATGAATAGAATAAGTTAATATGTTGAATAAATTAATATTAATAGAATAAATTAATATGAGAGAATAGAAAATATTTGCAAAGGATGGATGACAACAGTGACTGTTATGAAGAATACATAAAAAATTCATATAACTTAACAACAAAAGAACCCACAATTCAGGTTTTTTTGGTTGGTGTGAGTCTTGAACTCAGGGCCTGGATGCTGTCCCTGAGCCTCTTTGTATTCAAGGCTAGTGCTCTACCACTTGAGCCACAGTGGGTTTTGGGTGGTCAATTGAGGATAAGAGTTTCATGGGGATTCCATTGTGCGTATATCTACCACATTTTCTTGATCCATTCATCTACTGAGGGGCATCTGGATTGGTTCCATATCTTAGCTATGGTAAATAATGCTGCAATAAACTTAGTTGTGCTGGTAGCTTTAGTATGGTCTTGTTTGTGATCATTCAGATAAATGCTCAAAAGTGGGATTGCTGGGTCACAGGGGAGCTCTATGTGGAGTCTTTTGAGGAACCTCCATACTACTTTCCAAAGTGACTGAACAAGTTTACACTCCTACCAACAATGCAGTAGGGTTCCCTTCTGTCCACATCCCCTCCAGCAGCTGTTGTTATTAGAGTTCTTGATTATAGCCATTCTAACTGGGGTGAGGTGGTATCTCAATGTTGTTTTGTTTTGTATTTCTTTTATGGCTAGGAAGGTTGAACATTTCTTCATGTTTGTATTGGCCATCCTTCTTTCCTCTTCAGAGAGGTTTCTCTGTAAGTCTTTAGCCCACTTATTTATTAGGCAGTTGTTTCTTTGAGGATTTGTTGTTGGGGGATTTAATTTTTTGAGTTCCAGGTATAATTTAGATATGAGTCCATCAGATAGAATGACATTGCCTCATTTGCTTGGAAATGGAAAGTCTTGGAAACAATTATATTAAGTGAAGTAAGCCAGGCCCAAAGAAAAATAGGTCCCATGGTTTCCCTTATTTGCAATTACTAGTATGTGTCTGAGACAAGCAGAAATGGTCAGATAAGACAATATTAGGCGAAATGAACCCCAAGTTAAGGACTCAAATGGTTTTTCTTTCTTGCTATTGTTTCTAACATATTTATAAGATGATTTCTTTGTTGCTTAGTATGTCTCTCCCCCATGGTATAACCCCTGTTTTCACTGTATTTGATGTTGGTATAATTTGTGGAGGGGAAGGGAAAAAACAAATTGTTTAAATAGGGTTACAGGTGGACCCATTGCAACAATGAGAATGAGATGTACAAGATAATATGTCAAAAAAAGAACTTTACAACTTTGGCATGGGGGGGCAGGAGAAGAAGGGGGTGAGGGAGATGGGAAGGGACGGGAAGGGGAAACAAAGGAGGAGGCAACAATGCTTGATAAGAAATGTACTCATCATCTTCCTCATGTAATTATAACCCCCTGTGCAGTGTTTCCACAAAAATAATAACAAAAAAGAATTGTAATCATTCAAAAAAAGTCTCATGGGGACTTTTGTGCTGAATTCATACCTCATTCCTCAGGTCTCAGCCTCCTGAGTAGCTAGGATTACAGTTGTGAGCCACAGGCTTCAGCTTCACAATTCACTTTTAAAAGAACAAAGCACAGGAGCACATATTTCTCTACAGAGGTGCCAATGAACACATGGAAAAAATGCCAGACATCTCTGGGACAGGGCACAACAAGACAACAATAAAATTCCCTTCCTATTTCTTGGGACGGATCTTACCAAGACAAAAGAGAAATGGAACACACGCAGAGAAAAACAGCAAACAGAAAATAATAAGCATTGGCAAGGGTGTGGAGCAACTGGGACCTTTATCCCTTCTTGATGGGAAAGTAAAGAAAGCAATGTGGCTGCTGTGGGAACCAATGGCAGTGCTGAGAAACTCTAAACATAGAATTACCCAGTGGTGCAATATTGCTACTCTTAGGCAGATACTCCACAAGTTCAAAGCAGGGATATGAAATAATCTTCATGGATGCGTTGTATTCACAATTGCCAAAAGGTAGAAGCAGCTCAAAGAGTCCTCTACAGGTGAATGAATGGACATTTGTAATGGAATATTACTCAGGCCTAACAAGCAAAATAATTCTAATACATCCTTCACAGATGAACATTCAAAATATCATGGCATGTATATAAACCAGACACAGAAGGATAATATAGGTACAGTTATATGAAGCGCCTCACACAGACAAATTCAGAGACGGAAGGCATAGAGGCTAGCAGGCCTGAGGGGAAGTTGGTACATATGTGTACAGAGCTCACGTGATTTTTCAGAAATGGATAATGGTGATGGTTAAGCAGCACAGTGAATGTGGTAGGTGCTGTGGAACTGCAATTGCAAAAGGGCACGTTTTGTGTGCTGTTCATGTTTAAAAGATTTTATATCAGCACACGATAATTGTACAAAAGGGGCTTCATTATGACATGTCCGCACACCCATGCAACACACCCAGCCAAACCCTGGAGTCTACAAATGATCTGAGCTCTTTCTCCTTTCTCCATTTGCTGTTGTCTTTTGCAAAACCACCCTTTGTGTGTGAACACATGCACTGGCTGCCTCCTCCTCCTTCTGCGTGCTCTGGTGGCTTCTGTCTGTCCTGTGATGGTCTGGGTTCAACCAAGCGCTAGAATAATCATTTAAAAACCCATCTCGGGGCTGGGAAGGTGGCTCAGTGGTAGAGCGCTTGCCTTGCATACATGAAACCCTGGGTTCCATTCCTCAGCACCACATTAGCAAAAAGAAAAAAGCTGGAAGTGGTGCTGTAGCTCAAGTGGTAGAGTGCTAGCCTTGAGCTGAAGAGCTGAGGGACAGCGCCCAGGCCCAGAGTTCACGACCCATGACCGGACCCCCCCCAAAAAATAAATAAAATAAAATAAAAACCCATCTCAAGCCAGGCACTGTGCCTCACACCTGTAATCCTAGGATCACAGTTTAAAGCTAGTCCACACAGGATAGTCTATTAGACTCTTACACACAAATAACCACCCCAAACCCTGGAATTGGAGCTGCTACTCAGATGGTAAAGCCTTGAGCACAAAAGCTCAGGGACAGCACCCTGATCCTGATTTCAAGCCAAGAACCAGCATGGAAAACAAAACAAAAGGAAACAAAATGAAAACTAGCACATCATCTCAGTTTATGCCTCTTGGGGTTCCAGGCCATGAGAAGGCTACCATCTTCTGCAGTGTGAAAGCCAAATGCTTGCGCATTGCTGAATGAGATCTACTCTCTGGACATTGCATGGCTGTGTCCCTGACAGGAAGCCCCTCCTCCAGCCAGCCACACCCTTCACCCAGCACCCACTCTAAACTTCATTCAGATTTCCCCCTCAGTGGTGACCAGCCAAATACTTTTGGTTTTGTGCATTTCTCCTATAGATTCTCTGAGCCCTTTACCCAGCTGTGAATTTCTTCCTCAGTACTCTTCTCTTTTCAAGATAAACCATCACTTACCCTTAGTTTGTTGTGGTGGTGGTGGTGGGTACTGATTCCTGTCATTTTCCCTAGTAGAGCTGTCCTAACAGTGACTCTGGCTCTTTTAGTCACCAATGCATCCAAGTTCCCCTAAGAGTTATGAGCATGTAGTAGGTATCTAGTAACCATGTATGTGATGTATAAATTTCTCACTGTGATACTTCTCTGGGCTGGAATTCTGTCTGGAAATGACCCAGTTACAAAGTGAATTTCCTATGTAAATAGTTTGGCCCAAACGAATGGTTATTTGCAAATAGGCAGGAAGCAGAAGGGACTTGCTAAGAACACTACAAACTCACTTCCCACTCAGTATTACTGACAGAGACTGTTGAAAGATTATGTACCATATCTGAGCAGTGTCTAAGAAAAATAATGCTTAAAACCAGTCATACTGGTATAGCTTAAGGCCTGTAATCACATCTCTTAGGGGTACAGAGGGAGGATTTCAGTCCAAGGCTAACCATGGAGAAAGTGTAGGATGCCACTGGAAAACACACTTTAGAACAAAGTCCTGGAGACCTGGCTCATGAGATAGAGCACTTTCCTAAATGCATGAGGCCCTAACTCCAGTTTCTAAAGGAGGAAATATTAACAATAAACACACTCAGGATGATTTTAGATTAGAATAGTTCATTGAATAGGCATGGAGTTCTTTGGGTTCCTGTTTCCTTTTTGGTGAAGTAGGGTGACAAGGACATAATAACCACACTAGGTGGAGAGTCATACACCATTTATGTCAGTGTCTCACACATAGATAGGGAAGTTATCATTGAGGAGATTGCCCATGACAAGTTTTCAGTGGCTTTAGATGATACAGATAGGTATTTGTAAATAGATACAGATAACAAACATGAATGTATTATAGACTGTGTTGGCCAACTTCCCATTACTGTAACAAATGCCTGAGACAAATCAACTTATCAAGTAAAAAGGGTTGTCATGGCTTCCATTTTCAGAGGATACAGTGAAGGAAAAGTTGACCCTGTTGCTCTGGGGCCTATGGAGAATCAGCCCTTCACAGTGAGGAGGATGAAGGGATCCAAAGCCTGTTTACCTTAAGGCCAGAGCTTGAGACAGAAAAGGAAGAGGCCAGGACCCTCCTCCTTCAAGGATGTGTCCCCACCATGATCTGAGGACTCCCACTGGCTTCAACTCTTAAAGTTCCACAGCCTTCCAGTGGGGCCATTCTGGAGACCAAGCCTTTAACACATGGGAGATGAGAGGAGATTTCAGATCCAAAGTACAGCACAGAGGTAAGTACTGCAGATGATACCTCTGTGTCTTTCATCTCCTCCTTTCCTACTCACCTCTACCTTGGTAAAAGACAAACACTAGTACACATGCACACACACACACACACGTAGCCACAAATATCTGTAACAAGGTGATCTGCTATGCTAGTATGCAAGTTTTGGGGAGAGCTAAAGGAAACTACATACTAAAAATTGAATGAAATGTTTGGCAGGAAGAGAAAATATCACATGCATCACTGTGGAACATGAGAGTAACACTGGGTTTTAACTTCGTTCCTTTCTTAATTGTGCAACTGGCAGCAATCTCAATTCAGATTGCTTCCCTGCCTTTCTCTCTTGCAATCAGTCATCACTGAAAGGCTGAGTAATGCAACATGGTTAGAAAAAGCAAATCTAGCTGTGGTTATAGCCAGTGGTTATGGTATGAATTAACATGAGTGAGACCCTTTGTTCAAAATCCAACTGAGAAGAGAGAGAGAGAAAGAGAGAGAGAGAGAGAGACAGAGACAGAGACAGAGAATAAGAGCCAGAGCCAGAGAGACTGAGAAAGAATGGGGAGAAAGAAAAAACCAGGGACAACAGAAAGAAGGAAGGAAGAATGGAAAGAAGGAAGGAAAGGACAAAAGAAACAATCCTATAATTATAGAGCTGGGTTTCAATCTCAGCATCTCCACTCACCAGGAGAGGTGACAGTGGACAAGTTCCACTCTCGGCTTCAGTTTCCCCATCTGCAATTGGGATACTAGGAGGATCTATCACAGGAATGACGCAGGCTTTTAGCAAACGAATAAAACAAAGTTCTGACAGCCCTGCCTGCCCCTCAGATGGGCTCAGCCAGTCGCCTCTCCTGCTCATTTGAGTGCATTATGTATGTAGTAGAAATACTTGTAAAAGTTGGCCCCCAACCCTTTAGGAACTGTGGGGTCATATAACCACAGGCCCGACCTGTGGAGCCAGAAAACCTGCTATGCTCAAGACTTGATCCCTGGAGTCAGCATTATGGACAAAGAAAGGGACAAAGGCAAAACAGCCTGTTGGGGAGCTGTAAGCAGGGCAGGGTTTCCTGACCTGTGTTAAGACAGACCCTCGTGAAAGAGGGAAGACAAAGTTCCCATGAGAAAAGCAAGATGAGCAGGGCTGTCTGTGGGGACGTGTTACCTGCTGACCTGTGTGTCCTATATGTGGAAGCTGTGAACCCCCTTACCTCAATGAGACTGTATTTGGAAATCGGGCTTTTAAGAGATCACTGAGGTTAAATTGAGTTGTAGGGGAGGGCCATCCAATGGTACTTGTACTGTTAGAAGAAGATACACAGAAACATACACAAGAAAGATCATGTGTCAGAGACAGGAAGAAGGTGCCAAAGGCAAGGCAAGAAGAAAAGCCAGGAAGTGGCACTGTAGCTCAAGTGGTAGAGCGCTCGCCTTGAGCTGAAGAGCTGAAGGACAGCGCCCAGACCCAGAGTTCAAGCCCCATGACTGACAAAAAAAAAAAAAGAAGAAAAGCCAACCCTGACTACATATTGATCTTGGACTTCCAGCCAAGAAGCTGTGAAGAATACATGTCTATTTCTTTTCTCACCCAGCCCAACATGCATTGTTATAGCCAGGCCTGACAAATGAACACATGAACTGTGCAGCACAAAATGTGAGATACATTAAAGAGGTAGAGGCTGTGGAGCCAGAGGACCCCCACTGTAGAATGGCAATGACTGAGAATCTGGGATCCCTAAACCCTTGCCCACATCAAGATGGCCCCATGACAGACTTCCTGTCCTCAGTGGATGAGCAGAATATTCTGGCCTTGGAGCTAGAGAGACCCAGTGGCTGCCTGAGCTTGCTCCACATCCTTGGGCTTGTTGCTTCATCAAGAGACAAGCAATGACCAGGATTCAAATAAAAATTCCATTGGAACAGGAACTTATCAGCTGAAATATAATACAGTCATGGCTATTGTTGGAAGTACTCTCTGACCCAAAGCCTCTGGTCACCTGCTGTAGGTGATGACTCCACAGACAATGCTCAGGTGTCTGGATCTTTAGGCACTCAGTGTCCTGTTCTTGTCTTCCGTGCCCATGCTTGGGTTTATCTGGCAGTCCAGGGGCAAGGCTAGATTAGGAGCTGGAAGAATGAATTCTACCCAAGGGCCATGCTCACCTGTGAGTCCCAGTAGGAGGATCAGTAGTAGGCCAGGAGGAGGAGACTGGGGCCAGGAGTCAGGAATGAGCATCATGGAGACCTCAGCAGTCTGCAGTGTCCTGCTGTCAGTGTTGGGGAGAATCCAGACTCTGCTGTGTGCAAAGATGAGGGACCCTGCCTCTCTCCATGAAAGAGGAAGTGGTTTGTCATAGAGTCTGTCTCGGTATTGGGAAATAGAAATCCACTAACACAGGAAGCTACACAAGGAGGAGTTATCGAGGGTACAGTTCAGAATATTCATCTCATGGAAAGAACGCTTCTTGTTCACTGGGGCTTGAGCTCCATCCACTAAGACCTGAACCCCACTTTGAGGTTTTTGAGCTCTTGCTTGGCTATGAAGAATTTGCCCTTAAGTCTTAAGCCTCAGATATGGTTGGTTGGCTTGTGGTTTTGTCTTGTACCTGCTTCATGAAGAGCCACTCATCTGGAGGTAGAAGGAACATTCCCCAGCCCCATTCAGTGTTGGAGCAGAAGTCACATGCTCCTGAAGTACCACCCCACTGCAACCCCTCTGCTGAGATAACTGATTCACATAACCCAAAGTTGGTGTGATGTGGACCAAAGGGATCTGCGTCCCTGTATTTACCAAATTGCTGATTCATTCCAGGGGAGAAAGTGGGTTTCAATGGATAGCTGCTTGGTCGGGCAAGCTGGGGATTGTGGGTTAATATGAGGAGCCAGAGTTATGTATATTGTGGGCAAGTCTGGTGCAGGCACATTTGCTTGAGCACTCTATGTTCTTGTTAATTGTTTAAAGATCAAGACTGGGATTCAAACTCAGTGTCTGATGCCTTTGCTCCTTGGTTAGCCCTCTGCCAACTGAGCCACACCTCCAACCACAAACTCTGGGTTCTCTATATAGAATTCACCAAGGCCTTTTCCTGCTGTGCCAGATAGAGCTGGGAAGAAAGGAAGGGTGATTGGGGATGGAGACCTGCTAAGGGGCTGGCAAGTAACCCTTGGCTTCATCTTGTCATCTCCAACCTGGGGATAAGGAGTTATCCATCACCATCCCTCCACCCCACAGTGTTTCAACAGATATTAAAGGGAACGTGTCTGGAATATTCTTGGGAAAAACCCAAACAAACCATGGGTCATATTGATACTCTTGGTACCAGATGGAGGTAGGTAGAGAAAATACAGCTTTTCAAGGATGCCTTATCTCAAAGAACTTACTTCTGAGATCAATTGCGCCCTCTGGGATTCTCAGTACCTCTATTCCTTATTGGTGCATGGAAGGGGCAGCTGCTTCACCGGAGGCCTTGGCTGCTCCCTGGTTTAAGCCTGGCCACATTACATGGCTTGAATACATTTGGGTTAGGAGATGGACATCTAAGGCATGCATGGGTTTCTACATTCCCTGCTTTGCTGGTGTACAGGGTTGGAGGAGGCAGATTGCTGAAAAGGGAGATGTATCATCTCTCTGTGTGGTGTGAACTGTGAGCTCTGCTCTTGGAAACTTTCCCACATCCTGCCCCTGCCTGGCTCTGTTCACATGTCTGAGACATGTTTTCCCCATGGTATTTGTAGACTCCATGTTCAACATGAGAGAGTATTTTACCAGAGTGTAACCTGGTGGGCTCCACCAGAGCCTGATTTACCAGCTGCCTTTGGTCTTCCATGTGGAGAAAGGGGGTGTGCAGCTCCAGGGCCTTCGAGTTTTGCTCCACTGAAGGGAAGAAACCTCAGAGGGGCCTGGCGCTAGTGGCACACAATGTAATCCTAGCTACTCAAGAAGCTCAGATCTGAGGATCGCAGTTTAAAGTCAGTGCAGGCAAGAAAGTCTGTGAGACTCTTTTGTTTTTAAAAATTTTGTCAGTTGTGGGGATTGAACTCAGGTCCTGGACACTGTCTCCATGCTCAAAGCTAGTGTGCTACCATTTTGAGCCACAGCTCCACTTCTGATTTTTTAGTAGTTAATTGGAGATAAGAGTCTCAAGGACTTTCCTACTCAGGGTGGCATAAAACCACAATCCTCAGATCTCAGGGTGCAGAGTAGCTAGGATTACAGGCATGAGCCACCAGGGCCTGGCTCAATCTCTTTCTCTAACTTCACAGAAAGTCAATCTTGCCTGGTTTATTTTATTGAACTCATCCATTAGACCTGCCTTGATCCATGGGTTCTAATAAATGTGGCTTGAGCAACAGCTAGCCTGTATTACAAAGCAAATCCATTGTTACACAAACTAAGCCACAATCCAGCTTAAAGCCAAGCTCAAGGAATCAATCTCAGCCTAGACCAGCCTCAATCAGCTGAGCTACAGCTACTTGTTTTATTGTTTTATACCCCTGAACTTTATGGCCATTAGTTATAAAGCAGTAACTAGCAGGAGAAACTTTAATGTTGAGGAGTTCTGGACTCAGATTTTTACCTTCTAGCATTATGTCTCCATTCCTTTATTAGTAATCATTCTATGCCAGTACCTCTCAAATTAAAACCTCAAACCCAATACAATTTCCTAAAGTCCAGATTGATATCTAACTTCAATATCTTCACAGATATTGAAAGGTCATTGAAAACAACATGTTCCAACACAAACTCTTTGCTTCTCCATTCACAGGTGCTCTGTGTATAGCTCTAACTTACTTGATGGCAATTTATTATTCCATTCGGTCAGCTTCTCAGTTTTAATGACTCCAACTTTGTCACTGGGATCTTGTTGCCTTAGCATAATAAATATCATCTGGTCTGAGATTTTATTATGATGGTCTTCAACATCAAAACAGCCTAGTTGGTAATCATCCTTTCTGTATGCATTTAGAGGGTAGGTTTGGGCACTTGCACTTAGCATTTGGTGTTGAACACCTGGTTTCCCTCTGGCTACTGTGTGCTCCAGGAGTACAGTGTCACCTCGGCTCCACATGACTTCTTCTGAGAGCTTGCCCTCCTCTCTGAGCACTCTAACACAGTCTTGGAAGTACTTGACAAAGCAATAAGATAGAAAAAAAGACAAGAAACGGCACAGAAGGAGGAGCTGGGAAGGTGGCTCAGTGGTAGAGAGCTTGCCTTGCATGCCTGAGGCCCTGGGTTTGATTCCTCAGCACCACATAAGCAAAAAGAAAAAAGCCGGAAGTGGCGTTGTGGCTCAAGTGGGTAGAGCACTGGCCTTGAGCTGAAGAGCTGAGGAACAGCTCCCAGGCCCAGAGTTCAGGCCTCATGACCGGACCCCCCCCCTAAAAAAATAAAATAAATTAATCCAAGTTCTGTAAAGAAACACAATGAATAGGATGGATAGATGAATATGTAGGTAGGTAAACAGGTAGATAGATAGATAGACAGACAGATATTATAAATGATAGGTATGACTGGATTCATGGGACTCAAACAACTACAGAGAATGAAGAATCCCATGCTGTGCCATAAGCAAGCTAGACACAGGGGGAAGCTGGTGGCATAACTCTGATTCTGAGGTTGAAGGTCTGAGAACCTGGTGGGGGAGAGGATGAGGTGCTGGGACAAGTCTCAAACCCAGAGGGCGGCAGAACCAAGGATTCTAATGTCCAAACACAGGAGAAAATGGCATCCCAGCATCAGAAGAGAGCAAGGTTGCCTTTCCTCTGCATTTTTGTTCTTCAGTTCTCAGCCAACTGAAGGTCACCTATCTACACTGGATTATGGAGATTTTCCTGAATGAGTTCACTGATTCTAGTGCCAACATATACATATATGTATAGACAGTGTGTGTGTGTGTGTGTGTGTGTGTGTGTGTGTAAAAATACCGTACAGAGGGGTTACAATTACATGGGCAAGATAATGAGTACATTTCTTTCTTTCTTTTTTGTCAGTCGTGGGGCCTGAATTCTGGGCCTGGGTACTATCCCTCAGCTCTTCAGCTCAAGGCTAGTGCTCTACCACTTGAGCCACAGCACCACTTCCGGCTTTTTTCTTTTTGTTTATGTGGTGCTGAGGAATCAACCCAGGGCCTCATGAATGCAAGGCAAGCACTCTACCACTGGGCCACCTCCCCAGCCCGAGTACATTTCTTATCAAGCATTGTTGCCTCCTCCTTTGTTTCCCCTTCCCATCCCTTCCCCTCACCCCCACCTCCCACCCCCCACC